ATGATAGTGATAACAATGATAATAAATGATAATAATAATTATAGTAATGATAAGAAAACAATTAAAATAATAACAATAACGAATGATAGTCATGATAGCAGTAACAGTAGTGATAATGACAATGGCAATAATGATAATACCAATAGTAATACTACAACAACTACTACTGATGATGATAATAATAACAATGATAATAATAGACAGATTTCGAAAAGGTCGACAGAATGGGGGGGGGGGGTGAGGCCGGCTGGCACGTGATGACAAACTACTACCGGGTACTAATGGTAATAATGATAAAATAAATGATATTGATAATGATAATAATGATAAATGAATATAAATGGTGATATTGGTATCAGTGATAATGATAATGATAATGATGATAATGACTATGATAATAATAATTATAATAATAGCGATAATATTATGATGACTATGATAATGAGGATGATGGAGATAATGATAATAATAATAATGGTAATAAAAGTAGTTATAATAATGATAATGATATTAATAACGATGATAATGATGATAACGATAATGATAATAATAACAATAATGGTAATAGTAATGCAACTGTTACTACGCATGAGAAATTCCCAAATTAACTTCTTGCAGCCGTTAAATATGAAGGAAATTAATGCCAGTAATCATTATACGTGGTTACTCGTGTATGTTCGTTTCTTCATTTTTTTTTTTGTTAAGGTCACTAAAGTTCCTAAACGCAAAATTAGAAAATGTCTAGGTTCTGGAGGCGAAAGAGTCGAGGTATCACTTGGAAGGTCTGTTGCATGCATACACACACACACACACACACACACACACACACACACGCGCGCGCGCGCGCACGCACGCACGCACATACACACACACACAGACACGCACGCACACACACACACACACACATACACACACACACACACACACACACACACATACATACACATACACACGTAAGCAAGCACGTACGTAGTATGTACTTTATGATAAAATTGATAATGATTATTACTACTATTATTATCATTATTGTTATATTTTTTGTTGTTATCATCATCATCCCCATCCTTACCTATTCCCGATTATCCTCCATGATGTTAGTACAGAAAAGAAAAAAAAACTCATGCCACATCGCTCGTCGCGTGGACTACCAAGGAGCGCGTTGGTGGTGGGGTTTTCGCGGCCAATTTCTCGGCGGGAAGAGCCTCAACTTGATATAGTAATGAGGTCAGCGCCGTGACGTCAGGCCCCGTTAATGAGAGCTCTCCGAAGACGAGGGAGCGAGGTCGGGTTCCGATTGGGCGAGGTCGTCCGCGTCTGTCTGTCTGTCTGTCTGTCTTTGTTTCGTATTGGTTGGATGTTTTTCTTGGTGTTGATGATAATGTTGATGTCGTTTTAAATGTTGATGTTGATGTCGTTTTTGATGTTGATGTTGATGTCGTTTTTGATGTTGATGTTTTTGATGTTGATGTTGATGTTGTTAATGTTGTTGATGATATTGTTCTTGTTCTTCATACTGTTGTGGTTGATTTTGATGTTGCTCTTGTTCATGTTGTCGGTAATGTTTTTCATACTGTTGTTTTTGACGTTGATGTTGGTGTTGTTGATGGTGTTGCTTTGGTCTTTTGGCATCCGTGTAGGATCGCGGTTATTTTTCTGTCAGGCTGACTACATGCGGATTTTGATATATGTATGAGGTGTTTTCTCTCTCGCTTTCTCTCTCTCTCTCTCCCTCCCTCCGCCTCTCCTTCTCTCTCCACTTCTCGTCCACTCTCCTCTGTCCCTCCTTTCCTCCTCCATCTCTCCCTCCCTCTCTAATTCCTTCCGCATCCCCTCCATCTTCCTTCCTCTCCCTTCCCTCCCTCCTCCTCCCTCCTATCCTCCACCACTCCTTCTCCCTCCTACTCCCCCCTTCCCTCCCTCCCTCCGTGTCTCTCTCTTTCCTCCTGCCTCCTCTCCATCCCTCTCTCCCTCCTTTCCTCCTCACTCACCGGCGGGGATTCCGAAGCCAATTTACAGATTTTTTGCATCCTCAGTAAAACAGCGAATGTCATCCCTATTTTTGTAGTCCAAAAAGCTGCCTCCCGTCCCCCCTCTTTCTCTCTCTCTCTCTCTCTCACTTTCTCTCTCTATCTCACTTTCTCTCTCTCTCTCTCTCTCTCTCTCTCTCACTTTCTCTCTTTCACTCTCTCTCACTCTCTCTCTCTCTCTCTCACTTTATCTCTCTCCTTCTCTCTCTCTCTCTCTCTCTCTCTCTCTCTCTCTATCTCTCTCTCTCTCTCTCTCTCTCTCTCTCTCTCTCTCTCTCTTTCTCCTCCTCCTCCTCCTCCTTCATTTATCAATCCTTTCCCTTTATGTCCTGCATAAGTTTAACTTACGGCAGACTTTTAGGTTTTCCTTCCCTGTATTTTTCCATCAATCATTATCATTGTCAGTTTTCACTTAACAAGCTTCTGAACCTTTTTTTCTTATTCTTTATTCTTTATATTTTTTTACTTTTTTTGTAATCTATACCTTCCGACAATTATTTCTGTCGTCTTTGATCTTGTATTTGTCTTTCCTTCTTTAATCATCTCTTATCATCATTCTATTTTCTCTCACTCTGATTTTTCTCTTCTCTTCAGCTTTCTTTTTCCTATTTTTATTCTCTCATTAATCCTTCCCTCTTTTATAATTTTTTTTTCTGTCTTTCTTCTTTTCTCTCTCTTTCAGGCTTTTTCTTTCTTTCACCCTTTTCTCTCTTTCATCTTCTCTTTTCTCTCTTTTTCCCCTTCACATTTTTTCTTCCTCTTTCCAATCATCTTCCTGTTCCCTATTTCTTGCTTTCTTTTTTTCCTTAATCTTTTTTTATTTCGATTTTCAGCCTCCTTTTCATTACTTTTTTCCATTCCTTTTTCTAACCACCCTTCATCCTCTTTCTCTTCCTTTTTTTCTTTGTTTTCTTATCTTTTATCTTCTCCTCTCCCCTCCTCCTCTTTCCCTATCTTTCTGTGTCTCTCTCATCTCCTGTACTTATTCTTCCTTCCATCTTAACCTCTACTCTCTATATATCTCTTTCCCTCCCCTTCTCCTATATTCCTCTCCTCTTTCTTTTCCTCCCTCTTTCTCGCACCTCCTTCTTTCTTCCTCTCTCCTTCTCTACACTAGCTTCTTTTCGTTCTGTTGTAATTAATTAGAAATAATGAACGTGGAAGAATAACGGATAGACAGAATAAAGTGTTTTTTGTTCATAAATGTTTATTTGTCGTTTATTTGTCTGCTTATCTATTTATCAGTCGAATTATTCATTTATCTCTTTGTGTCTATGTTTTTACTTGTCTCCCTTTCAAGACACCAATCTTCCTGTCTCTCATTCCCTTATTCTCTTATCTCTCTATCTCTCTTCCCTTTCTCTTAGCTCTCTATTTCCCTGTCTATCTCTTCCTCTCTCCGTCCTTATTCCTTCATTTCTCTTCTTTCCCTCCTTTCCCCCGTTCGCCTTCCTCTCCATGCCAGGTCTTATTTCTCTCACTCATTTCTTCTCCTTCTCCTTCTCTCCTCTTCCTATCCTTTCTCTCCTCTTCTCTCTCTTCCTTCCTCTTCGCGCCCTCCTTTCATTCCCCTTTCTCTTTTCCCTCTCCCACTCTCTCTCCTCTCTTCCCTTTCTCCCTTTCTCCTTCCTCTCTTCTCCCTTTCACTTCTTTCTTCCTCCTCTCCCCTTCTTATCCCTCCCTCCCACCCCCTCTCTTCCCTCCCACCCCCTCTCTTCCCTCTCTTCCCTCCCACCCCCTCTCTTCCCACCCATCTTCCACCCCCTCTTCCTCCCCCTCCTCCCCCCTCTCCCTCTTTTCCCTCCTCCCTCCTCCCCCTCCTTCTCCCCCCCCCCCTCTCCCTTCCACTTACCTATGAACTGAACTTTCCTGAGGTAACCTAGGAGCTGTTCGCCGTCGATGGGGGTCATCTTGGCACAGAGGCCCTGCTGGTCGCCACACAGGTCACGGTGCATGTTCCTGGGGGGGGTAGAGAGAGAAAGGGGTGGGGGTGGGGGGGTGGGGGGGGAGGGGAAATGGTGTGATTAGTATCGTTATTATTTTTTTTATTTGTTTGGCTGTTGGTGTTTTGTCTTGTTGTTTGTTGTTTCTGTGCTTTAGTTTTCGTTTTGTTTATTTTTTCATTCTCGTTTTTTTGTTTTAGTTTTTTGTTTATATATATTTTTTTATAATTATTACTTGTTCTTATTCCTATTTCTATTTATCTATTTTTTCTATTTCCATTCTTATTCTTATTGCTTGTTTTATTTTTCATTCCTGTTCTTATTCTTATTCTTATTCCTATTCTTATTCTTATTCTAATTCCCATTTGCATTCTTAATCCTGCTTCTATTCTAATCTTTATTCACCATTCTTATTCTTATTCTTTATCATATAATTTTCCTAATTGAGGAGATTATTAATACGGTGCCATTAATCAACTTGTTTTGACGTGAGTGAAGGGAGGAGAAGAAGGAAGAGGAAGAGGAGAGGATAACGAAAAGAGGAGGAAGAGGGGAGAGAAGAATATTGTTCTTTTTATCATTTGAGAGAGAGAGAGAGAGAGAGAGAGAGAGAGAGAGAGAGAGAGAGAGAGAGAGAGAGAGAGAGAGAGAGAGAGAGAGAGAGAGAGAGGCGAGAGGGAGAGGGAGAGGGAGATGGAGAGAGAGAGAGAGAGAGAGAGAGAGAGAGAGAGAGAGAGAGAGAGAGAGGAGGGAGAGAGAGAGAGAGAGAGAGAGAGAGAGAGAGAGAGAGAGAGAGAGAGAGAGAGAGAGAGTTGTTATTATGCCTTAATCAATAACTCTGTCTAATATATTTTGTGGCGGGAGAAAGGGGAATAGAGATGGGGCAGATGGAAAGAGGGAGAAAGAGAGGGAAAGAGAGAGGGGGATTAACTATTTCTGGACTATTTCTAGATACATAAAATAGGTTATATATATTTTGCGCGTGTGGTTGGAGAGAGAGAAAGGAAGATTATTTAGAAAAGGAAGGAAC